GGGTTGGCGAGGGAGAGGGTGGGGGCTGTTGGGAGGGTGGCCTGGGTGACAGGCAGAGACTCGGAGGCGATGGCCAGTCACTTGGTTTGCTCTCTTCCGGATGCTTCGGGGCCCCCATCCCAGATGACAAGGATGCCTGCACAGACTCCAGCCAGGGCCTGACGGGGAGAAAAAAAATCCTGGACTTTTCCATGTGAATCCTGAGTGCTCGGAGGGAACGTGGGGTCCCCTGGGTTGCAGGGTGCTCACAATTAGCTAGAGAGGGAGGAAGTGGTTTGTGAAGCAGTCATCCCAGGGCAGCTGAAAGGAATGAGCCAGACCAATTATACACCGGGGTACAGTGATCCCTGCCTGAAGGTTCAGATCACCGGTCTCACGGCAAAACGGAGACCCCTGCACTATGCTCTTGCTGCCTCACAGCTGCTCCGAGGAACAGGCTTCCTGCAGCCGGGGCTTAGAGGATGGCTCTCAGGAATGGCACTTGCTGACCCAGCTTGGGCTGAACTGACCCCTCGAATCCATTCGCTTTGAGTGCAATTGCTTTCCAGCTCCTGGCGACAGCCCAGTGTGCTCTTATCTCCTGCCTTCAGGGTCGGCTTTTTTGAAGCACGTAAATAAGTGCGTTTGGCAGGAACTTAGCTGCGCAGGAGCAGATGAGCCGAGGCAGGAGGAGGTGGGTGCGAAGGCTGCCCTTGGCTGTAAGTCAGCAGCATTGGTGAGAGCAGGGCTGGGACTGTAGCCGTAGCCAGCAGGCACCAGCAGCATGAATGGAGAGCAGAGTCTGGCTTCCTGAGACACAGGATGCATTCAGGCAGGGACTGCTTGCGGGGGTAGTCGGCAGTCAGGAGAACTCCCTTTGGGATGGAAAGCAGAGGCTGTGCCCCTCAAACTGCACCTGTTTGTCTGTGGAAGATGATGGGGCCCCTCTGCCCCCCTTTTGAGCATGGAGCCCTACTTGCCAAACCTTTCAGGCTGGGGACAGGGTGAGTTGTAGGCCCTGCATCCATTAACGCTCGCAGCCCTTTGGCACAGATGGGGAGGACACAGAGAGCATCAGGCCGAGCAACTGGCCATCCATCCTGCAGGCTGGTCTTTGGCCTCTAGCAGCAGCAAACGCTCAATGCCTTCGAGGAAAAAGCAGAGCACATCCTACAGCAAGCTGCCATCCACTGAAAGGGGAAATCCCTTCCTGAGCCCTGCCTGGGACGGCGCTGGCTTCCTTTGACATGTCTTGTGTATAGATGTTACCGGTTGCACTATCAACCAGATTTTGAAAATAAAAAAATGGGTCCAAAATTACCCCCTTGGGCACTCCAGGCTCTGGATGTACTGGCCCAGTCTCCTCTGCACCAGCACTGCAGCTCCTGGTAATAACTGCATCCTCCATCTCAGGGCACTGTGCCACCATCAACCAGTCAAGGCCCAGGGTCCCCTGCTGCCCCCCAGCTCTCCTTGCCCAGAACCGTTTCCCACTGTGCAAACAGCAGGACTAAAATACAGAGGGCAACTGACTTGCTCAGGGTCAGGTGGCAAATCAGTGGCAGAGCCATGAACAGAACAGAGGTCTTGGACCTCCCATGCATTTGACAGGGATTTCTCAAGAGGGTGTAAATGGGGGAGTAAGTCACCCCCAGCCAGGTCACTTGGGTAGGAATGAAGGGTGGCTGGATGCGCAAGGCTCTGCAATGTGGGTTTGCTAGTGTGTGAGCAGACGTGACCCAAAGGCACCCAATGGCAGATGCAGCCCCATTTCTTTCCAGAGGTGCTGCAAGTCCCTGGCTGGGACTCCGTGAGAGCTGCCAGACTGCAAAATCCTTGGACCACTTTTGTGTTAATTCCTCAAAAGGAAGGAAACCCTGTGGCTGGCTTCTGGACTTCAGTGCTCCACCTTGTTTTGAAAACCCCAGGCCAACACCCTGGCCGGCTGTCCTCCCACGTACAGGCTCTCAGCGAGGCTTTAAGCCAGCTGCAGGGACCGTGAACAAGGTGACAGACAGGCAGAGAGCTTTGCTGCACCACGGCACAGGCTGATCCATCACGGGTTTAGACTGTGCTGACAAATCTGCATCCCTGCAGCCCAAGAGCTGCGGGCACGGCTTGAGCAAAACAAGGCATGGCAAGATCATGCTTCAGACATGGCCAGCCACTTCTCCAGAGGAGCACATTCAAGTCAGGGGCTGTGCATTGAGGTGAGGTGAAGGCCTAGAGCTCTGCTTACTCACCAGGCTGAGAGCTGGCCTCTCTGCAGAAAACAGGGTCACTGCTTTAGCCCAGGGTGGGTGGGGCAAAGCGGGGAAAGGCCCCTGTGCTCCAAGTCATCCCTTCCCGAGTTAACAAGGGACAGGGCAACGGGGGGTCTACAAAAGCACTTGGAAAAAAAAAATTCATGGGATAGAAAGGAAACGCTTCTCTGAAGTTTGGTCCTGATTCCCAGTGCGTGGCCTGGCTAGGACACGCGGCTGCTCTCCTGTCTCTTCTGGGGTGTGAGATTGGCAATCCTTATCTAACCATCACCTCCTCTAGCAACACCCCGGTTGCCAAGAGCACACCCCACAATGCTTGGGACCACGACTGAAGACCACCGTGGTGCTGCTTCTGTTCGCCTGGGGGGCGCAGGCTCGGTCCTGCCCTTGCATTGGAAAGGCTGGCGTTACGGGGCGTCCTCAGGAAACAACGCCGCAGGAGACTGCACGGGGTGGGGAGGAGGTGGCAATGGTGCCAGGGGGCAGGTCTGGGATCCTTACCTCTCCTTCGTGGCTGAAAAGCGGTAATTTTGCCATACACAGTGGCACCTCCTGAATTAATATACCTCAGGATGACATGGAACAGAGAGAGCTCTGCCTCCTTCATGGCTACCGTGACTCTGACTTTATTCTGAAAAAAGCACAAGCACATCGGGCGCGCGTCACTGTGGAGCTGGCTCGGGACCAGTCACCCCCACTGTGGGAGAGCGGTACCCACCTGTCTGACTGCCTGTCTGCCTGTCTCTTCCCTCTCCCCTCTGCGTTACACGGGGAAGCAGCTCCACGGCTGCTGGGGCTGGCACATGGAGGAGTCAGGCTGTACCCAAGGGAGGCGTTTTGGAGCAGGGAGGCGCAGTGGTGCAGAAAGTGGGTTGTTTTGGGTTAGTGGAGAAGTGAAAAATGCACTTACAGTTGCCACAAATATTAAACTTTCCTTCCTCAAGGACCGAGACCCTCCCTTTCACATTTGCAGGCCCCCGGTTGACGTAGCGGAAGACGATGTGGAACAGGTCGGGGGAGGTCACATTGACAGTCACCACTACCTGGGGCTGGCGGGAGACAGAAAGGGGAGAGAAGCAGAGCACACCTTCAATCACCTCCGCCACCAGCCACCGACCCAAGCACAGCGGCTCGGCCTAACGCTCCCAAAGCAACATGCCGCGTAGTAAGGGGGGCGAAAAGGGGGGAAGAGGTTCAAGGGAACTGGCCCTACCGCACAACAGCCTCACTTGGACAAGGACAAAACGTGCTACCGAAAGAGCACCTACCTCTATCCCTCCTTCCCGAAGCACCTTTGCAGCTGCTTAACACCTGCGTGTGCATGTGTGCGTATGTGTGCACGCGTGTCATGGGCCGCGGATGCCCAAAGCATGGAGCATCTAGAAGATACTCTCCCACCAGCGCTTGGGGGTGCTCGGCCCCGGCATCGAACCAGAGGACGCTTCTTGACACAACTCTGAGCAGAAGTTGCCTCGCAGCGATGGGGAATTACTAAGGTTGGGTATCCGACTGGTCAAATACCAGCCACAAATTGCAAAAAAAAATTGTCAATAGGCCCAAATAATACACAGAAAAAACAACATTTTCATTATGTCAAAAAAGAAGTAAAAAAAAAAATCATATTTCTGTCAAGAAAACTGCAAAAAGAAAATGTAGCTTTTTTGGGGGTAAAATTGCTATTAACTTTGACCGGTCAAAAAATACGTGTTCAACTGACTATATTTGACCAGTCAATTGACTGGCTTGCCAACCTTAGAAATTGCGGCCGCGGGGTCATTTGGGAGCATTGCCTTTAAAGAAAGTCTCCGTTCCTGAGGCAATAGTGTCCTAGTGCTTTGCACTACAATTAACCGGCAGACAATGCCGGGGCCACCTGCATTTCTCTGCAGAGAAGGGGACAAAGGGAATTGCCCAGTTGTCTCCAGAGCCTTGAAATTGCTTGCAACTACGAACACGCAGTGAGGACGACATCCCGGAGGGGTATGTTAAGACTCACACAAGCCTCCCTCTATGGCTTTGACCCAGAAGAGCGCCCAGCATGCGCACATCCTTCATCCCTATTGACTTCAACACAGATCCCAGGTGAACGCTTGAGTGCCATCCTGCCCCAGTGCCTATGGGTCTGTCTGCAGTGCTATACGGAGATGCGTCACACCACCTCTGCACATGCCAAGGGCAACTTCGCAGGGAGGCTCATGCGGTGCCGCACTCATGCTGGCTCCGGGTCTGACTCGGTCGCAGGAAGGAAGCGCTGAAGTTGCCCGCTGGATGTCTCGCGTGGGAGCCGACTGTCAATGAAGCAGTCGCGCGCCTGCCTGTCAGAGCCAGCTTGCATCATGAATGCCATCGGGGATGCCACACAAAGACAAGGACGCAGAGGACGGCTCGCTCCGTGCTCCCGGCTGCTAATCTTTAAGGCTTTAAGTGTCCAGATTTCACCAAAAGTCAATGGGAAACTGGCACCTCACTCCCTGCCAGCCCTACAAAGCCAAGCAAAGAGCCTGCAGGCGCCTAAAGAGAGAGCTACCGTTGTGCCGAGGGACCTTCCTATGCAGAACAACCCTGCGTCGTGGTTGTATCAGAGCTGGGGACACATACACGCTCGCTCAACGTCCTCCGAGAGGCCGTGCAGCAGGAGGGTTCACAGATGAAGAAGATGCGGGAGGCAGCGGGGTCAGTGGGCATCATGGCCTCACCCCTAGGGACTAGCCTGGCAGAAAACCATGTATCTTCAACCAGCAGAACAGCGACAGGAGGGTTTCAGCTGCATCTGGCGGGGAGGGAGGGGAGTGCTGCTCTATTTCTGGGTCGGGGAGGGGGAAGGGAGGTTATGCAGAGTTGCAGGAAAGAGCAGAGATAGCAGAGAAGGGCCTGGGAGACCTGCAGACATTGTGCACAGATAAGCCCCGATACCCAGCTTTGCCGCATTAGGACGCATAGGGCTTCCGGACTGAGGAGCTCTCCTATCACCAGTCTACGCTGTCCCTAAAGCTACAGGAAATATCTGCACAAACAGACTATATATACACGGGACTGTTTGTTTTGCCCACCACATGACCTTGGGCTTTGAGACGCGCTTTGGGTTAAAATAAGACGCTCGCCTGCAGCACATCAGACTGTCAGCCCTCCCTCCCCCTACCCCACAGGGAGCACCGCCAGGGGCCAGAGCCATCAATCATACCTGGATGGGAGACATCTGCGCGTATCCTCTCCAGCTGAAGTTCTCAAACTCCAGGGGGTTGTAGCCGAAGCGAACAGCCCGGCCATCCGGCGTGGTGCCTTCCTCCAGCTCGAGTTTCAGGTGGTGAAGGTCAGGGAAATAATGGTCCTTTGCAGGTCTGAGGATGACAGCAGGAAAGATTCGTTTGCAAGGGGTTAGGAGGACGGCGCTCCATGCAACAGCCTCGTGCAGCTCCTTGAGGAGCTACCGAGCACCATAGTGGGGCACCTTCCCATTCACTTCTTCACAGCAATTAGTGGATGGAGGGGAAAAGGGGAGGGCAGACTCTTTAGTGAGGCCCATTGATGAGGTGTGATCCCCACCACTGCCCACCAGGAGAGGACAACACCAAGGTGCTGGCATGGGAGGAAGCCTCAGAGCACACGTGAACACGCCACGCCACGTGCCCCCCATGTGAGTGGCCCCACCGCTGTGGCGGCTCCTTACTGGGTGCATGTCGGGCCCCGCGTATTTGGTCGGCAGTGACAGGCTCCGGTCCTCTCGCAGGACGGCCCGACCGAGCCACCTACGTCGCACTGGCAGCCTGAGGACAGGAAGCGCATGTTTACATTCCCGCACCGCTAACGAGCTCCGAATAGCGCTAATCAAAGCTGCGCACCGAGGGAGGGGTGGCGGGGCCTCTATTTTTAGATCGCTTTTCACATTGGCACGGGCTGCGCTTGCATTCATTTCTCTTCCATCTCAGCTTCAAGCTATTTCCAGATGCCACGGACAGCCCAGGCCTGAAGACCCCCCTGGTAAGCCCCGCTGCCTCCTCCCAGGCCCCCAAACCCGCAGCCCGCTCACTGCCTGCCCCCAGGCCACTGCAGGTGCTGGTGCTGTGTGGGGTGACAGCATGCGGCCAAGGCTGTTGCTTCTCTCTCCACCAAGGTATTAATTCGTGCATGGGGATCCCGCAACATAAGTGGATGTTAAAGGCAAGAAGTAAACCCCCCAGCACCCACATCTTCGGCTTCCCTCTGACCCCAACAGGAGGGGAGCGTGAGTGACCATCTCACTTGCCAAGGGAGGTAGGGCAGGCTGGGTCTCTCCTCTGTGGCAGGGCAGCTGTGGGTGCCCCCCACACCCTAATTCCCAGTGATTTTAACAGGGCACTCAGCCCCTTTTGCGGGTGCTGGTTGTAGCCGTGTTGGTCTCAGGACATAGGCAGATAAAGTTCTTTGGGTAAATGCAATATCTTTAATTAGACCCACCAAATAATTGGAAAAAATGGTTCTTTGCAAGATTTCAGGCACAAACACCCTTCTTCAGATTCTCCCTATGTTGTGTTTGTAACCAAAAGCTTGCAAAAAACAAATTTTTCCAACTATTTAGTTGGTCTAATAAAAGCTACCAGCTTCTTTTGGACACTCAGCCCCCAGCTGCCCCCAGCCCTAATCCACACTCTGCCTTCCCATCCTCTGCAGTCTCTCCACCCTCCAAACAGCCTCTGCTCCAGTGACCAGCTTCTGCGCTCTGTTCCCACCAGGTCCCATGCATCGCGAAGGCAAGAAGGGGGCTCACCTTGACAGCCAAAGTAACTTGCTCTGTTCAGTTTGAAGTAGCCCTCTTTACATGCTGAGCAGAGCTGGCCGCAGATGTTGGGTTTGCAGAAGCACTGCCCGCTGCCCTGGGGAATGGCAGTCATACAGCAAGGGTCAGTCAGTGCCCCAGTGAACTCAGCTCAGGGTCCCCTTGGTGCCCATCACACTCAAGGCAGGGGTTGGGAGCAGAGGGCGGCACGGTATTTATGGAGAATGAAAAGAGTCTCGTGGGCAGCAGGATGTGGAGGAAACCCACATTTTTCAGAAGTTTTTAAGTTCCCCAGGCTGAAGCTACTGCCAAGATGGCAGACAGGTGCTAAGAACATGAGCTGGCACACACCAAACGACCTCCCACTGATGCTACTGCCAGCGACTTCCCGTGGCACAGGTGTGGACTGCAGCAGCCTGAGGCTACAAGTTCCTCGGGGCAGGGACTGTCGGTTTTGTTGTGTGCACCTAGCACAGAGAGGCCCTGACCCCTCGTTTAGCCTTTCCAGCTGCTACTGCAACACAGAATAGAAGAGCTCTTCTTTCCCTCTTCAGTTCTAAGGCAGGTGCTAAATCCATGCCCTTAAGCAAGCCTGGACTTCAATCACTGAACCTCCAAGATGACAACGCCAGGACGGGACTGGGTGCTGGCTTATGCAGAGCAGTCCGGCAGGAGCTAGCGTGGGGTGCTCCAGATGTTATGCATGTAGATCAGAATCAAATGGGGCTGGAAAGGCCTTCAGAAGGCCATCTAGTCCAAACCCCTGCTCCAGGCAGAAGCACCCTGCCTGAATTGCCCCAACCACGTGTAGCAACTTGAAGTGCTAGATGGAAGCCCTCTCTCAGCCATCTATTCCAGCGCCCACCGCCTAGTTAGCAAGGTCGTCTTAACATCCAGCCTAGCACAAAGATCTCTTTCCAACTTAAAAGAAGCGCTGGAGGAGCTCAGGGCACACAGGGAACATTGGAAGTGAACTTACTTGCTGGCACTCAGCAACTCCACTGATGGTGCCTTTGGTGTTGCACTGGCAGCCTGGGGAGAAGAGAAGAAGGCGAAGCTGTCAGCCTTCCTATCAAAGACTCTTACCTAGTCAGAACAACACTAACACCCTGCCACAGGCCCAACAGACCTCAGGATGTGGGGACAAGGCTCCAGAGAGGAAACCAACCAGCTCTTGATTCCTGCTATGGCTGCAGACTGACTGAGCATGGGGTGAGGGCTGAATTTTTAGGCAGTCTGATGCTTACCCCTGACCTTGCACATTGCACCTGCCCTGTGCAGACACACAACAACGGCTTTTGCATGTCCATGCCCAGCATAAATCAATCTAAGGGAAAGGCGGAGGGATTGACCCTAGCAGAAGAAGGTCTGACCCTGGCCCTGCCCCAACTGTACATTCGGATCGTGAAATCATTGGGACTGCTGGGAACGTGACCGGGATGAAGAGGTCCCCCTCAGGCCTCTCTCGAAGTGCTGATAGGAGCCAGGTGGGAGTGTCTATAGGACCAGTTCCTTACTCATGCATCCATAGGGGTTCTCTGGAGTCAGGTTCCAGTACAGCGGCTTGCACCTGTCACACGCTGGGCCCTCGACGTATGCCCGACAGGCACAGGAACCCTGAGAGGAGGGAGGAATAATCAAAAGATGAGAAGAGAACGGCACGGCCTCCAGTTACGTAATGCGACCTACGGAGAGATCAGCTGCTGTGCTCTACTGCTGCCGTCTGCAGCATGGCGCCTGGGGGCAGATCCAGGGCCAGGAGGGGAAACTGTAAGTGAGATGAGGAATGAGCAGGGTTTCCAGAAAAGGAGACGGGGCAGCAGTGCTCAGAGACGGTGGGGCATGTGGACTACTCACCGGAGGCAGGGATGGGTCTGTGTTCTCTAGCCCCGCCGGGTTGCAGGAGCCCACTGGAAAGAAAAAGCAGAGCTGGTAGCAGGTTTAAAACACCTCCTCTCTCTGAGCTGCTGCGCCTGGGAGGGGATCTGCAGGGAGCTCTCTGTTGGGTAGGGGCTGTCACTGGACTGACGGTGGAGCGGTTTGATTATGTGAAATAACAGGCACCCTCCTGCCAGTTGAAGCCGCTGGGCTAAGTGCTGCACCCAGCCGCCCTGGGGGAGGAGGAAGATGATGCTACCTTCACAGTATGGGAATCCATATGCCCCTGGCACGCAGGCATCACAGCGTAGTCCCGTCACTTTGGGGCGACAGCTACACTGCCCCATCTCCTGATCACAGGTGCCATGGAGGGAGCCCTCCGCAGAGCACTGGCAGGCTGCAGGCGAAGAGGAAAAGACAGGCGATCAGACTGAGAGCCATGAGGTGGCAGGGGCTTGCAGCCCAGCCCAAGAGCTTGTGCTGCACTTAGAGTGAAGGTCACCTGCAGACTCATGTAGGAGCTTTCTCCCAATTATATGTGCTTAGGCAGAAAGCCTCCTTTTCTCCTGAAAACCAGATTGCATCCGCTTCGGTGGCTTAGCTGCAAGCAAGCATGTGCTACAAGAGCCTCAGTCTACTTGTTTCACAGGCAGAGGAACGCAGGCAGAGACTTGCTCCGGTCACACAACGGGTCAGTGCAGAGCGGAGATATTGCTCCGAAGCCACATAGTTTACTACAGACATCCTGAGGGCCAGTCACACCCCGTGTCTCACAGCAGCACTGGCGAGGCCTGGAGCCATAAGCTCCCAGAAAACAGCAGCCCAGGCCGACCAGCCTTGCGGTAACCAGCCAGCAGCACAAGCACGGAAATCATCAGTGACCACAATGCCTAAATCTGAGCAGGGACACATGTATAACCGTGGGGACAACCTGCTGCTTACTGATGCACGGTGAGAACTCGCACCCCTATCACCTTCAATGGCATCCTGAAAACGTACAGCCATCAACTAGTCTGGTCCCAGTCAGACATGATGCTCTCACTTCTAATCGCAGCTCAGGCACCGAGAGACAAATTTAGTGCAAGTGTGTGAACAACCTGCACCCCCAGTTGGCCCTGGCCTCTAGCAAAATTCTCTTACTACTTCAAAAAATAACAGGATATTTGTAAACCTCAGGTCCCCTCCCTGGCTTCTGCTACAAATTTGCATTTTAGATACTGCTTCAGATGAAAAAACAGGTGACTACCATGCTCCAGCAAGACTATCTGATCCGAGCCTCCAGCCCCTTCAAAGGCATAACACCGGCATCAGCATTCACAGCTTGCATGAAGCCAGCTGGCCAGGACTCAGGCTTCTACATTTAGCATGGTGCAAAAGGGTCCGGGGGGTGCTTCTGTTTTGTTGCTCCAGGGAAATCACATCACAGAACATTACTTAGGGAGTGGTAAATATTTGCTGTGAGGCACAAGTGTACATCTGGCCTCAGTTGTGATGCTGGGGGTGGGGAGGCAGGGGGGAGGAAATGCTGCCTTGGGCATATTGAGGACAGTTAATAACACAGGCACCGGCAGTTAGGCAGGGCACCATTTTGCCGTGCTTGCATGAGTAAAACCCATCTCTGAGTCTGAAGCAAAGCCACCGAAGTCAGTGGAAAGACTCCCACTGGTGTTAGTGCTGGGGCAGGACAGGTAGATAAAAATCAAAGGGTTGCTTCTTGTCTCTCACCCCTTCGCACCCAAAATGTAGCTCAGCTGGCTCCAATGGAGTTAGTCTCCATTTATTCTGGTGGAAATGGGAGCAAAGTAAGGGACAATAGACCTCTGGGAGGTGGAAAGGGCTATTCACTGGGGGGTGAGAGCAGTAGGCCTGAGACCAATTCGGACAGGCTGAGTGTTGTGGTTGATTTGCAATAGCGAGAGCAAGGTGTTGCTGTGAAGTCAACGTGGTCAAACTTTGCCAGCTCAATCCTGAACCTCATGGCTCAGGCACAATGATAAGTGGTAGCCATTTGCAGAATAACCAGAAAAAATCTTTATCTCGTGTTACAAAAACCCTTTGCAGTCCAGACCATCCAAATGGGAACCCGATGGGGAGGAGGTCTGCATCCCCCCGCCTGTACTGCTGGCTGGTCTGGGTTTCCCGGTTCTCCAGCATTCAAGATCAGCTGCTCATCCTGGTTTGGATGCACCTGACCTAAATGGATTACGCGGTTGGCTTTGAGCGGTGTGTTGTTTGCACCCTGGCGTGTTGCTCCGGGAACGGAGCCGAAGCAGCAGTTTTGTCTTCCAACCAAGCCGAAGCACTCAGCTCTGCACAGCTTCCGCCACGGGCCATAAATCTCTCCTCAGCACCTGAACCGCAGCTCTGACGCTGCGATAGCTTTGCAAGTCTCCGAGCGCCTGGCTTAGAGCTTTGGCACGAGATCTAAACACTCCGCTCAGGGTTTCTTCGGGAAAACGTCTCGCATGGCAGAACCGTGTTGCTTCAGCGGGCGCTGGAACAAGTCAATGTGATTCAGTGCCGTTTTCCTTTTGTTTGTGCATGTCATTTGAGGTGAGGGGAGAGAGTCTGGCTCATGGTGCATCCTGCCGCAGTTCATCTCCTGGGCCACACTTTGCCCTGCCTTTCCTAAAGTGCTGTGTGCGTTTGAGGCCCTGCATGAAGGGTTTGCTAATATTCCCATCAGGGTGAGCAGATATGAGCTCCTGGTAGTAATAACTATAAGTGGGACAGACTGCATGGTGCTTGGATTGTCGGTGGACAGCTATTTCCGACGGGGAATGCACTTTGGAACCATCCACAGAACCAAATAATAAAACCAACCTTTGCTCTAATGAACAGCCGGTCGGTATATGATTATAATCCTGGGCCAGGGTGTGCTGGGAGAAGGGGGCTGGGAACAATACGAAACAAGAAGCAGCCCGTGTGATTGCCCAGTTTGGGAAATGATGCTTTTCTGCTGGCAAAATCCTCCGTGCGAGGTTTTGTTACTCACGTGTGCAGCTGGGGTACCCGTAGAAGCCTGGTGCACACTGGCTGCAGGTGTGCCCGGCAAAGTTAAGATGGCACCGGCACTGACCAGCTGGGCTGCAGTTATTATCTACTGAGCCCCGGGGGTCACAGGAGCAAGCTGCAAGAGAATGGCACACAAATGAGAAAGAGGGAGAGAGAGGTCTGCTGGGGGGGGGGGGGGG